AAGAGTGTGAAAAAAACTGTGAGAGATGTGTATGAATCTGTTCAAGCTCAGACCAAGGCGAAGCCATTTACACACATGAGCCACAAGAGGACAAGAGGACATGGATGAGAGTGGAGGTGCCCACTAGACGCTGACCTATTTCTCTTTACAGAAAACCATACTGGACATGTAAACACAGTCTTCACTTCAAACACAGGCATCTATGGTATAGGCCACCTGTTTGAACCCCGGTTCACTCACCCTCTCTCTCTCTCTCTCTCTCTCACTCTCTCTATATCAGGCCCCTCTCTCTCTCTCTCTCACGGGCTCGCTCCACTGCCCAGCAGGCATGTGCTGAGATCGACATTATAATGTATTGAAAACAGCGTTTAGCGGAGATGGCGCTCTGGTGTGGTGCACACACAGAAACAAATACTGACATACACACATACAAGCTACCCTCCCTTCCTCTCTCTCTCATCCACTGTAATACTAAATCCACAGATCAAGTAGAAATATTTTATTGTAATTATGAAAGCTCATAATATAGAGACTGATTTTTATTAATAAAATGTTCAATGTTTTCTTTTAAATAATTGTTTTATTTAGTCAATATTTTCAGAAAAGCAACATTACAACTTCCTAGGGCCCAAGTTGAGGTTCTCGAAAAGCTTATTTTATTCAAATATATTTAAAAACAGTGACATAAAACTGAGAAAATAAGCATATCCACAGATCTGAAAAGCTCAAACCAAAAGATGTCTATCAAGTAATACTCCGTTTAGGCCAGTCATTTGGACAGAGTTATGAACACAGAATGAAGATTATTCATACAGTACAGCAGATTTACCACACAGAGACAACAGAGGAGAAACTTACTAAAATAATCTTGTATTAAAGGTAATAAATCCATCGACTAGGGTTCGCAGTATGTATGTCACCTGCAAGATAAAAACAGTCAAACAATAATCAACCTCAAAATAAACTTTTATCGAAGAAGTACATGTAAAAAAAAGTTGAGTGCATGTTTTTATCAAATCTTTTAATTGATCCAGATGTAGCAATACCCAGAGGATAATTAAAAACAGGAAAATTGTGTCATTTCCTAAATAAGTCATTTGAAATACCTGATAGAGTCTATACACTGGGATGGAAGAGTTGGGGACACTGCAGCAATGAACGTCGTGCACCATCTATTTACTATATTATTTGATTTGATTTGATTTATTCTTTCAAGCATGTAAAGACAGTTGATATATCAACACACATAATTTTACACATATCCAACAAATGCTAATCCAATATCAATTTGCTTATACCTAGTACATGCTTGAATGGAGTAGGAAGAAGTCAGACTTATCCAGTCCTACCCCATGAATACAGCAGACAAGAAGGATCTAATGGTACTTACTGATCTCTGGTCAGGTTCAGGTGATGAGCCCTTCTCTGCAATTCTTCTCCTGTAAGACAGAGTCCAGAATTATTTCTGAAAAACAGTTGCTATTTTTAAAAACATATCATCATGTTTAATGTTAATATCATAAAGCACAGACCACACAATTCCTCCTGAACTCCACATTTTTAAAACCTAAATTCCTTAGATTTCTCTAGATCTTACAGTGATACTTCTCTGTCAGCAACAAAGTGCATTTAAATTACGATTTTACTACATATCATCTCATAATACTGAGGAATAGTGAGAGTGATGAGTACATGAACTTATTCTTCAGGTGGCACAACAAAATCCATTGCGACCAACATTGGGGTTTGCTAAATCTACTGTATGGCAACTGTGTCAAGTTTCACTTTTCTGTAGTATATGAAACAAGATCTGAAATTCATTCATATGACTCAAGTGCCTATTTTGAGACGTACTGAATCGAAGAGTAAAATGGCAAACTTTGAATACGTTTCTCAGTTTCACAGGTATTTGTGGCATGTTTGTGGCATGGTGTTGGACATAACAGACACGTCAGGTTCAAATATAAAGCCATACCTGCCAGACACACAATGTGCCAGGGGCCCGGGACTCCCTTTAAGCTTTGTCCGGCTTTTGTCGCACTCTTGTTTAGTAAAATTGATGCAACTCTCAATTACTTGACATCTACTCCCGTTTAAGTGCGGGAAAATATTCACAGCAGTGTATATCCATCATACCTTTAGACGGGAGATGTCATACTTAAGTACAAAAAGGAAATCCATCTGCCATTATTGGTGCCATCATTTGAGTGCGCTGAAAAGTGTGTCGACCTCCGCGGCTGCAGCGACCTTTGTCTCCCGCAACCAACCCTGTAACCTGTCGCCTCCCCACCAGCACAGCTCAGTCTTTCTTATGCGGCTACACTAACTCATTCCTGCACAGCCTTCGCCACAGTCTGTGTGGCTGTCTATCCCGGCCCGCTAACTGAGCGAGGACACTTTTTCTTTTGTTGTTTTTGGAGGCGGCTTGAAGTTGTAGATGGGGATGCCTCCCGTTACCAGCCATGTTTGGACTGTCACATTGTGTGACCATGCGTGAGTGAATCCACAGTCATCAGCCTGTCTGGAGTCGCACCACGCCCCTGCCAGCCTCCCCAGAACCACTCGAACATGTGCGTAAAAGTTATCGTTTACCAAAACTATCCCACAATTGGTCAAAATCCTGAACATGCTCGGAACCTCTTCAAAAGATGGCAAAAAATAACTTGAAAACAGTGCCAAACGTTTGCCCCAACCCCTTCAAACTCCATTAGCATCCAATCCACAGTTTAAAAAATAATAATAACTACTAAATTTTAGTAGGAAACGCCATGAAATGGTCTTTGGTCACTATAAACTCCCACTCTGTTGCCACTGTTCAAATAAAACATTTAAGAGATTCATGCAAATTTTGAAAATGTTTTGGGTCTTTGGTCAACACTAGAAAATCCACTTAATGCTGTAACTTTCCAGAACAGCACCAGCTATATAATGTCAACATACAACATAGGCAGGTTTTCTTTTTATAAAAAAACAGGTGGAATTTATTAAAAACATAAATGTGACTAATCTGGCTCACCTATTCGACAGTGGGAGGACAAAGTCATTGAGGGGCCTAGAAGTGATTATTGCGGTGGCTAAAATAAGACGTATGCTGAAAGCTGATACAGCCAGCTGGGGTCAGTACACACTGCAACAACACAAGTCCATAACATAGGAATACTGGGTTTAAGAATCAGGCAGTAATAATACCAATAAAGAATTTTCAGGAACAATCTCATGATGGTTTCTGGAACTCTAAACTCTTTTAGGGCACCAACGTCATCAGCATTCAAAAACAAACATTACAACATGCAAAAACATTCAGTCAAATATCCACTGATTTGTATTTGTAAATCACTACAATCCTGGCACGTCTGGCATTTTCATAAACTTCAGGCATCTTGTCTGGAATTCAAAACATGACCATGTCATTTCTTTTCGTCTCTTTTTAAGGCTGATAGATCAACTGTGAAATGTCAGTTTAAAGCAAATATTTCACATGTATGCAAAATGATCAGGTAAGTTTCTAGCACCTTGAAGAAGAAAAACATCTTGTACAGTCTAAACGTATGCAGCACAATCCTAGTGTGTTTAGATTTTTATCTCCAACACAAGTGTAGAAGCACTTCAAGTAAAAGACAAAAGACATTCTCTTCAAATCTCTGTGGTGTGCTCAGTAAGGTTTCACCGTTATATACATTCTTTATCAACATAATCACATCCTGTGAAACACACTTCTCAGACATTACACACAAACTCTAGCATTATGTATAGAAAGTCATGCAAATATATATGTTTAAACTCAATGTTGTGCTACAGCCACTTGATTCAACACAGCAGGATCAGAAAGTCTTTGATCAGTTAGAATAAAACATCCATTTAAGTTCAATCACATTTACCACCTCCTGTAAACTAGACTCTACAACTGAATCTCAAAGTGACTTGGACCCTTTGTTTCCTTTATATATCATGACTTCATTTGTTGTCTTTCTTCTTCTTTAACACTAAATAAATCAATCAAGCTCTGAGGCTCCACTGTCACCATTAGGTGTCAGCACAGACTCACTTCTCTGGTTCAAAACCTGACCACTTCCAATGTGCAGCAGGCTCAAGCAGTTTCTAAATGTAATCAATAAATCAGAACCTCAAAATCTGTTTCGGATGAAGTTTCATCTTCCTGTGAGACAGTTCTGGTGGATGTAGTCTCGGACTTCCAGGCTGTAGAAACTATGACTGTTTGGGGCAGTTGCTTTTACAGTGTGTGCTTTTCTGATGGTTGCCTTTAGGGTTGCAGCAGTATACTGGTTTCATGGTATACCATGGTATGAAAAATGATAGTTACAAACAAGTCAATTGATTAATGGAGAAAATAATGAGCAGATTAATCCCTAAAGAAATTAATCAATAGTTGCGCTTGGACACAATAGTTCAGAAGAGCTTCACTTCAGCCAACTACAACTGTCAAATCCTGCTTTTACACCAGTGCCAGGCTGATAATGTGATGCCTAATAGACAGTATGTGATATACAATATAGTATGACATTTTTTTCATCGAATAGGCTACTTCTGCTTTTAATACTTTAAGCACATTTTAATATTACTTAATTTGACTTAACATTTTCAATGCAGGACCTTTACTTGTAACAGAGTAGGCTACTTTTACAGGGTGATTTTACTTAAGTGAAGGATGTGAATATGTCGTCTACTACTGGTGCCTACATGCAAACTAACATGATAAGTAACAGTTTTATGCTATTTTTTTTTTTAAAATCATAATGATGTCTACCTTTTAAGACCAATCTAGCTCTGCAGTCCAACTCAATCAACTGCCACAGTCACAATAAAAAAGACCCTTTAGTTTTGATTCTTTTAAGGGTTGTTGTAGCTGACAGTAGTAGTAAGTGTGTGAGGCCGTAATACTGTGAAACAGTGATCCATTTATTTATTTTTTAGATGACGTGAAAATCTCATACTGTTGCAACCCTAGTTGCCCTTCAACACATGGTCTTGTTGCTGGATGAATCTGTGGAGGAAGGCAGCAACATCTCATTGGTCCTGTTCTGCAGAACAGTTTTATCTCGTTTCACGCCGTCTGGGTGGGTGTAATGGAGGCTCCTCTTGTTTGATCTGGCTGAGCACCTTATGAGTGCCTTGAAGATGAGGTAGCCCAGCTCGGCCACATTCAGCACCATGCAGATGGTTGATGAGACTACCATGAAGATAGTGAAGACCGTCTTCTCTGTTGGCCTGGAGATAAAGCAGTCCACTGTGTTGGGGCAAGGCCACTGCTCACACTTTACTAGCCGGGGCATCTTGAAGCCGTCATAGACAAAGTATAGTGCATACATGAACCCGCCCTCAAAGATGAGCCGGAAGAACAAGCTGCAGGTGTAGGTCCACCACAGAGGGCCTGTGATGGGCAAGCGCCTCTTCTTCAGTGTCTCCAGGTCAGTATCTGTCATCTTCTCATTGCTGTTGGAGGCCAACATAGTCCTCTTCTCCCCTCGCCTCCTGTAGGCGACGTGCATGGCCACCAGCAGGGCCGGTGTGGATACAAAGATCAGTTGCAGGCACCAAAAGCGGATGTGCGACACAGGAAAGAAGTGGTCATAGCAGACATTTTTGCAGCCAGGCTGCTGTGTGTTGCATGTGAAGTCTGCCTGCTCATCGCCCCAGACACTCTCAGCAGCCAGGACAAGTATAGTGATGCGGAAGATGAAAAGAACAGAAAGCCAAATCTTCCCTAGACTGGTGGAGTGTTTGTTAACGCCACCCAGCTGGGCATAGAGTGCCCCCCAGCTCATTGTGGTAACGAGGACTCAGCC